TCAGAGGAAACTCTATCGCCGTGGGAAAAACAGGATGATCCAGTGGATGCGTTCACTTTGATGCATCATGATTTGGACGTCTGCACGAACTCCTTGCAATATGCTATGATTCTAGATATCGTAAACAATTTGTTACTGTACGTGGAACCACAACGAAAACAAGCGTTAGAGAAATTGGCGCGTATGCGCTTTCAATTGCAGCTGCACTCGACGGAAGATCAGAAGCGGCCGATTCAGCAGAAGCAAACTATGATACGAAGCTTGCTGATGAAAATTCGTTCGCTGGAGAAAGACATACATCTGATAGGCAAGGATCGTGCAGAGGAGGGCGACACGCTGGAGTTGAGACAAGAATTCGAACGCGTACAGCTGCAAATTCGGGAGAGTAAAGAAGAATTGAATACACTAAGTGAGGAGCTTGATATGATGTTACTTTGTTACAAGGAGACTCAGCTTTCTCAACTCAGCAAAATATCGAATGTAAGTGAGATTTTTAAAAAAATAATTTCAATATTTTAATTTTTCATTTGGTTTTAAAAAAAAAACTAGGTTCGAGCCGATAAATCCCTAACTATAGTTCGTGCGAATGAGATTTGTTTTAAACGTGCTCAGTGGCGACTCACAGAAACTGATGGCCAAATCGGTATATCTGACTTGGTACTCAGCGGCTTTTTATATACAAAAAAATCGAAAAGTGACGACTCCGTGGAGCATTTGCTGGAATTGGGAAATATTCGTATGAGCAACTTGATACCGCGTGAGATTTACCGTGAGGTTCTCATGCCAACAGAGATCCAAAAAGATATGCCTATAGACACACATAAACGCGTGCTTCGTGTTTTTTGTCGTGAGAAACCTCCGGTAGGCGGAATTTCAGTCAAGGAACATTTTGAAATTAATGTGGCGCCAATTACAATCGCCATAACTAAGAAATTCTACAGCACAATGTTGAAATTCTGCTTTCCCGATCGTGATGCTTCCGAAACAGAGGCTGTAGATGACATTGAAGAGAATTCGTCCAGTTCTTCATCCTCGTCGGCAGCACAAACGAAAACTTCAAAGAAACCGTCGAAAACGAAAAAGAGTTCCAAGGATTCCGAGTTCTATGTAAAAATCGAAAAGGATGACGTGGAAAAGATGAAAGAGCGTGCTGAGAAAAATAAACTGTTTATTTACATAAAAATACCGGAAGTGCCTGTTCGTGTAAGTTACAAAGGAAACAAAGAGAAAAACCTAGAGGATATCACAGACTTTTCGCTAGTTATACCAACACTCGAGTACCATAATGTTACCTGGACTTGGCTAGATTTGCTGTTGGCCATGAAATCAGTCAGTCGACGGGTGATTTTATCACAAGCTATAAAGCAGAAACTTCAAATACACAGACGACAACCGGGAACATCTACTGGCGAACGTTCGTCGCCTCAGGAAGAAGACAAAGCAAAAATGTTATTTGGAAATCGCTTATTGGTAAGATATAGAATATTTTACCACCAGTAATTGTTTGAAAAAGCTTATAATGTTTATTTTAGAGCGAAAATCGAAGCCAAAGAAGAGGGGTTTTCAAATTCACCTCGACTAACAAGTGATACCAAGTGATCAAAAGCTATGAGACCCTAGTGTTGCACTGTTTTTAATCCATCTACATAAGTATGTACACAAACGATTATGGTCTGGTTGGTTCCATAAATGAGTATACCATGCAGTAAAATGCAACACTTCTATTTATTGTAGTTTTAATTTCGTGAATTTAGGTTGTTTTAACACAGATACAATTAAAATTAAATCGTTTTTCACAACACTGTAATGCTAGTAGAACGAGTGTATCATATTTTTTTAAACTACTATACTAATTGTATTAGCACACTTTATGCAACATGTCATAAAAATACATTTAAAAAGAAAAAAAAAGAAAAGATAAAAAATATGCTATGCAGAAATGTAAAATATACTGACACATTATGTCCATTAAATCGGATCCTAGTATGTATTTAATTTAACATTTAAAGAGGCATTATAGTAAAATTGCTTTAGAATTATCAAATTTCAATACTTTTATATTTTTTACAAGATTTTCTTTACATATTCCGTTCGCGAATATCAAACATTATAGATCGCTGTTGGGCATAAATATCCAAACTCTTCATTTCTATATTTTTGAAACTTTTTATCTTGCATACATACTCAGCAGGAGTCACTTATTCGATTACATTAGATGCTCACTTTATCTGCTGCTTCAGCGGTGGCTGTAATAAACAAAAAAATGGTCAAAAATTAGTATTTAATAATCTTTGCAAAGCACATGTCTAAAGGTACTAGTCCAATGAAGGCTTGCTTTGCTTGCTTCGCTGTGAGAACTGTCAAAAATTATTTTAAATATACTATAGACTGCGTCGAATAAAATTGCCCGTCATACTTCTTCCATATTATACTACTGAAGTAAATTTTTTGTATCATATTATCTCTACATAAAATGTCAGAAAATAATATGTGTCCTTTCGTTATTTAACGCGAATATTGCAAGGAAAATTGGAATTTTGAGAAAATGTAATTACAATTTTTCAGAAGCGACCTGATTGGTCTTTTAGAAAAAATTACCTAAAAGGTGGGAGTTACCACGAAGAAGATTTCAGGGTTGTTAAACACTTCAAAGCCGGATGACGTATTGCTAGAAAAAAAGTTTCGGATAAATAGAAGGGGTTACATGCTCGCGAAAAGGCAAGGGGAATTGTGACCACACTAAGGAAGAATCTGAACATTTCAGGGATGAAATTGGTAAGTAAGATTAGCTTCTTAGAATAATTTTTGCGAATAACAATATAAGACACAAGGTGGAAGATTCACAAGATTAAGAAAGTTTCAGAAAAAAACTCTGTCAAGAAGGATACCGCAAAAAACGAGTAAAGTTGTAGAAACAATTTTTTTTTTTTAAATCGTGTGTTGCGTATTAAAGACGAGAGTACGTGTTAGCGGACTTTATTTCATTTTCCAGGACAAGAATTTCTCATGCAGCTGATTCTCTAGGAAATGCAGCATTCCCGCATTCCGAACTTAGGTATTCTGCCTTACGATCGAATCGAAAGAGGATGAGGAAGATCGAAAACTTCTTTCGAAATCAGCTGTTTGCCTAGGAATGTGTGAAATCGAAACAAAACGATGAAATATTGGCCACCAAACTATAGCAGCTTATGAAGTTGGAGTTTGTAAATATTTTAAAATAACTAAATATATTTAGCATCACTAATTTAAAAATAAAATTTCGTTTGCTCTTAATTTAAGAGGAAACATAATTATAAGAATGAAATCCATAGCCGCGGCGTTGTTGCTTGAAAAGGAGGACGAGTCCCAGATTGCTGATGCGGAAGTTGAAAGGCGGAGATTTAGGGACATGTTTGATCCTTCTCAGATGAGTGAAGAGTAATAAGAAATTCATCTTGAACTGTATTACTCATCGCTCAAATCCAGTGAAATTATAAACGTTGTTTGAGCACTCTACAACATTTGCAATTACTACAGAGTAGAAGATTTTTTTTCAAAATTTTCTTTTTGATGCAGAAATGTATCAGCTGCTCTAGGAATATTTCTGCATCAAAAAGAAAATTTTGAAAAAAATGTCGCTTACGTTATTTTGGCGGTTAGGGATCGATATTTACTTGTTGCATTTCTGCATCAAAAAGAAAATTTTGAAAAAAATGTCGCTTACGTTATTTTGGCGGTTAGGGCTCGATATGTACATCTATTAATTTTATACAAAAAGAATAAATTGTATTCAGTGCATTTCACACTCTTATTTATAGATAATGAAAACAAAAACGCCTGAACTTCCTCTTTGAAAACCTCGCCCAATATCGCTTTTGGTTGCCATTATTTGAGCCAATTTTTCGTATTGCCCGTATGACCGCTCGCGAAAACACAGAAATCGAGAAAATTCATTTATGATGGCTTTTACAATCATGCACAGTATATTTTACTTAATTTTTTTAATAAAATTTTATTATTTAAACCCACGAAAATAACAATCGAAACGTTCTCCGTCAGCAAATTTGCAACTTAGAAAAACGGAACTACGATCGAAATGTAGAACAGGTATAATCGTAAATTTCGAATATTGATCGAAAGGATACGGAACGCAGAATACCAAAGTTGCCAAACGGATAAAATTTCGATTCGAGTCTAAATGCAGAATAGGGGTGAGTATTTCCAAAGAAGCCCTACTTTTGCAGCCCGTCTGCACTTGTGACAAAAAAGGAACTCATTTGTGGCATCGGGGACAATCAACAAAGGTTTATATGTGAAGTAATGCTTGCAGAAGAGCTGACTTCCTTTCCTACGCATACATGAAGTATCCATTTTGTTGTGGCTTGACCTTGCTTCATGTCATTATGGCACAAAGGAATAATGTATATTTGGTCCCAAAAGAAGTCAATCTGCCAAACTGATCCAAACTAAGGCTGAATGAAAATGGGCTTTTAAAGGAAAGTGGGCTTTAGCAGCTGTAAGGGTGTTAGACACTTCTATAACGCTAATTGCCGGGGTTCCGAAAAAACTAACACTTTTATTAAAAAACTGAAGCTCTTGTTTCTTTGCTACTTTATGTAAATTTGTGGTTAATTCTAAAAATAAAATGCTTTTGGTTTTGAAAATCTCACAACTAGGTAATTTTATTCGGCACAGTCCTTAAAACGTATGAAGTCCGGCCAAATAGCAGCTTTGCTTCACTTGCTTTAAGCGCCTCAAAGTTTCAAAAAGGCAAATGTTATACCTTAAAACGTTTTTTAGGCTTTTGGCAGAGAGGTATGTTCCCGTTCTAAATAAATTCGGACAAAGTGCTGCAGACTTTTATGAAGAAGAATTTGCTAACATATCGCAAACAATGTAAGTAATTTGAAGTTACATTATTTATGTAACAAGTAATTTTTAGCAAAAAAATTCCGACTTAAAAAAATATATCTATATATATTTCATGATCCAATAATCGGATCTAAACCAGATTAGTATGGGACCAGCTCTGATGATCGAAATCGGTTGACGTAGTCCAAGGTTATGCGGTAACATACATATAAAAAATAATAATATTCGGTGGTTTAAGAAAAATTTGAATAACTCAGCCTTAACTGCACCGATTCACACTTACAAGGTATCATTGGAAAGGTATTTTCTCATCCTCTTTATTTCTTTGCAAATAAGCTCATTCGAAGCATGAAAGAGGAAGGTAATACAAACGAGCCTCATTCCATGTTGAATTAGGATGTGTTGGTATTTGATAAAGAAAAAATTGCGACGTGAATAAGTTTTTTTGCAAAGATATAAAAAGGGTGAGAAAATGCCTTTCCTATGATACCTCACAAGTCTATGTCGGTATGGTTTTGGCCCAGGTAATCAAGTTTTTCTTAAACAAATATTTGAGAAAGGTAAAAAACGGCCTTTATGCAGATTTTAAGGTTTAAACTGTTTCGTCATCTGAGGAGATTTTTTCCAAAAAAATCCTTTAAGAAACTATTTTTATTCATAAAAAACTCCGTTTTTGGAGGTATTTTGCAATCGGTCCAGCTCACGTAAATCTTAAGATTTTTCCGAAATATTTTGGTGGACATCTTAAAATATAATACATTTTGTAAACTTTTTTTGGTGATGCAGTCTAATATGCATTAACACCGATAATAATGTCAGCATGGAAATCCAACGCAGAATCGCTATTGCCAACAAGTGCTACTTTGGACTGAGTAGCCAATTCAGGAGTAAAGTCCTCTCTCGACGTACGAAAACCACACTCTATAAGTCACTCATCATGCCCGTGCTGGTATATGGCACAGAAGCAATGACAACATTCGATGAGGCGGCTCTTAGAGTGTTCGAGAGAAAGATTTTGCGGAAGATTTACGGGCCTTTACGCGTTGGCGACGGCGAGTACCGTAGACGATGGAAGGATGAACTGTATGAACGTTCGAATGTAAAAGTGAACGGTTAGCCAAACTCGATCGGTTAACCGAATAATTGCTATTCGACTATCAACCGACACAAAAGTTGCTAAACAAAAGCTCTAGTTTCCATGCTTCTTTGGAAACTGCCCACTAACTACCCCAATCTACCTAAAGTTTGGTCTAAATGTGACTAAGGACCCCAACCACTTCTAATTTTGCCCCCATCGCATTTCTATATGTAGATTCTATGAAGCTTAGGAAGATTGCATATACTCCTACTTTATTAGACCAACCTCGACAATCCTTTCTCTGGTTTCTAACAGGATGTTTGATTTCTTCATTTTTTGCTCATCGTCTGTCGTTTGCGGGGCACCGAAATTGCGCATATGGAAACTGTATTTAGACATTATTTCGGTTTTCAACCATGTATGCATCACTTTTTTTTCATATGCATTATATCGCTTTTAGAACGTGTATGTATGCATTACTTTGGGTCTTTCATATGCGCTTTTCGGTTTTGAGTCGAAACTGTGCATGTATGCATTATTTCGGTTTTTTTTTATGCATTATTTCGGTTTTCAAACGAAAGTGTGCATATGCACTATTATTTCGGGTTTTTTCATATGCTTTATTTCGTATGCACAGTTTCCATATGCACAATTTCAGGGTGCCGTCGTTTACTTACCAATACGAAAACCTTCTTTGGTATGGACCGCTGGACTAATTCGCTGAGTGCATTGTTATGCGTGTCGTCTTTGCCGGGATCGGCTTTTGTATTGTACTCGAGTGTTAACTCGGGTAAGTTCACCCAGCCGACGCATAGAGGGTAGAGATTGTACACCAGCTGTTTTTCACTATAGGCATATATGGAAATATCAAGCTGAAATGCAGAGAAAAAAGAAACGAAATGAAAATAGCCTTCAAAGATTTTTTGCTTACTTGTTTGTGCCCAGAACAAATAAAATTATCTGCGATGCTTATGCTTAGTGTTGCCACCAAATGCAACACATTGGAGGTGGGGTTATGCAAAACAACCTTGTAAGTCATGGGCATTTTCACAAACATCTTCTCTTCAATGGTGCAGTAAATATTTAAGGGCGGCTCTTCTATCTCCAACCCATGAATAAGGAATTTTGATTCGTTTTCATCTTTGGTTCCGGTACGCCGCCATCTGATACAGTACACACCGAAATTTGGCTGCTGCTGTGTGGCTGCTACCTGCATTTCTGGCTCGGCCGTTGCGATTCGCTTGAAGAAACCCCGACAATGGCCGGTAGCTTGAATGGCTTCTATAGCTTTATTGAAGACTACTCGTGTGTTTGACGCACGCGCAGCTGCTGCAGATGACGCTGCTGCCGACGCTGTCATCGCTGTCGCTGATGTCGAATCGGCGTCAGCATCATCGCCCAATGTCAGTTTTTCGTCAAATGAAGTCGCAGACACACTCATCGAGGAGTTGGAATTCGTTCCCATTAGCAGAGAGTTCACAGAACCGCTGCTATTATTTATTATTGTCAAGTTGTTCGGTATTTTGCCCATGAGATTCTTGTTCATGTGCGTGTTTGCACAAGCATCAGTCGTCTCACCGACGACAGCTTCGCGGCTTATATTTTTCGCTGAACTTAGTTTCCGCGCCCGCCGTGACCGGCTGAATAGTTCATTCTGCAGATCTCCATTTTTGGTGCGGTCAAAGTCCTTAGCAGTTGTCCAATCGCTGGTAGCAGCATTCGTACGCAACACAATTACGTCTTCGAGCTTATCGTGACTGCGGTAGGTTTGCGTAAACTTTTTCCTCTTAAAGGTATATGTTGACTGAACCAAATTGTGGTCCTGCGATAAGACAATTATTTTTACTGATATAAGTTATACGTACTTATGTATCTATACTTACGCAAATAAAATATGTCTCGAGTATATCAATATCGACAGGTGACCGTACTTCCATGTTAGCGCGCAGTAAAAAATTTTCACCTCGATAAACTTTTGTTAGTGGTCGCTTGCTAAGTGTATAGAACCGTGCTGAGAACCGGTAGTCTAGTTCACATTTGATGCTGATTGTGTCCTCGCGCGTTTTTCGTAGTCGACTCTCGTCAATAAACTCAATATGAACCGCTGGTGAAACTGTAGTAGGTCTAATATCAGTAGGCGATACGAAGTTGCGTACGTTTTCTGGCGAATTGTCAGCGCTTCCGGCTGTACCGCCATCAATAACAGTCATAGTGGTAGCGACTTTAGGTCGCTGAATGTCTATGACGTATGAAGTCTTCTGCTCAAGCACAATAGGCGTCTCAACCAAGCTGAATACGTAGAAGAGCACTGAATTTGAACTCTGCATGGATAATTCGCCAGTATCGATTTGAATTTGGGAGTGCAACTTTTGTCGACCAGATGATAGATCTGTAGTAAGGAATACTAGAAGAAACCCCAAGAAGACTCATTGATGACATAAAGAAACAAATAAAAGCAATTAAGTTTAAGATAACACACCACACTCGGGGTTCTAAAATGTCTGGGATATACAAAATTTCCTTAAAATACAGATCACGCTATAAATTGAAGGATAAGGTTCACGTGTTTTTCAATGAATAACACAGTCCAACAAAACAGAAAAACCAGAAATACCTGGGAAGTTAATACGGTGGCCAGACGTACTGATTTTATCAGTAGAGTACTGATTTTTCAACTCTTGTACTGATTTTATTAATTTCTTCAATCAGTATGCTAATGTCCTGATTTTTCAAACTTTGTACTGATTTGTACTGAATTTGCAATTCAAACAAAATACTTTATGATTTTTTTAAGGCTTCTACACAACGTTGGAACTTGCTTAAAATGCACTGTAAAAAGTAGGAAGCAAATAATTGAATTGTAGTTGAAATGTTTCAAATAATGTTTGATATGCCCAAGAAATTATTACAACAAGAATATCAATAGTTTTATGGGCATATCGTCGGTCGTTACGTACCAGTTACGATAATATGATGAGCTTAAATTATTTAAAAAGAAGGCTGGCGTTTTTTTTGTCGAGTGTTGTTAGTTATCTCGAAAATATCTTTCAGTTTAATAACAGCAAATTTGAATATTCGAATGGCTTTTGCCTATAACTTAAGCTGCCTTTAGATGAGGCGATTTTTTGGGAGGCGATAATCGCCTGCAAAAGTTGACTTTCTGTCTACTTTGAGGCAAGCGATTTTTTTTTTACATGAGCGATATGTCTTCAGCAATATTGAATCGCCTAAAAAATCGCCTCATATAAATTCAGCTTTACAATTCTTTTTTCTCAATTTACTGACATTGTAAAAGAGTTTTGCATACAAGACATAGAGTTAGATACCTACTCTTTTTAGCAAATTCTTATGGTCTGATTATGGCAACTTAACGTAACTTACAGCTCTCTCTTAAAAATTCTTAACTTAACGTAACTTAATGCCACGTCGAAATCTGTATCATTTTGATTGTCTAAGGTCTACGTTCCGTTAAGTTAAGTTGCCATAATCAGGCTTTTAGTCTTTTCATGAGGATATATAGAGGAAGTTCTTAAAAAGTAATACTTTTCCACAGTTTGAAAAAATATGTAAAACGAAGCAACTGAGAGGATCTTAAGTATAAGGTTTGCTTCCTTGCGCAAAGAGAGAAACCGGCTTCTAATTAAAATTTTTGAAACTGAACTTCAAATTAAAAGTAACTCTAACATTAAATGTATAGGATTCTTTGACTATTTAACCACTGAAAATGGAAATGATCTCATTATCAATATTCAAAGATGTCATACATATAAAATAATTTATTGGCTCCTATGTACAATGATGTGTACACTAGGGTGGTCCAAAAATAGTAAAGTTGGAATTGTAATGCTCTCACCACCTAGGATTGTTCTATATCGAAAAAAGTATACCCCTGCTTTTTTATTTTGAAATCAAAAAATATTTAGAGGTCGCTCAAAGCGCTCAAAGTTTTCCGTAAATTTTTATATGGGAAAAATAAATTTTGTCGTAGAAATGGTATAGAACTCTTGAAAGTCAATATTTTTCGATCGGAAAACTCTGGTTCTCTTCAGGAGACTTTCAATAATAATACCCAATTGTCTATTTAACCATTTTCTAATACTAACGATTTTTTATTGGTCGCCCCATTGCATTTTTCGGGGTATTTGTGGGTTTTTGGCGGACCTATAGATTATAGTTGCAATGAAAAAATGGTTAAATAAACAATTGGGTATTATTACTGGGAATCTCCTGCAGATAGTAGAGTTTTCTGGCAGAAAAATATTGATTTTTAACTATTCTATACCATTTCTACAAAAAGTTATTTTTGCCCCAGATAAAATACATGGAAAACTTTAGGTGCTTTGAGCGACCTCTAAATATTTTTTGATTTCAAAATAAAAATATTAGGGTATATTCTTTTTTCGGTATAGAACAATCCTAGGGGGTGAGAGCATAAAAATTCCGACTTTACTTTTGTTATGTGGGAGGAAGTCCAAATGTGAATGAAGGAAATACATTTTTATGGACACGTTACAACCCATTTCACCGACGGCATTCAAAAATTCGTTAACAACCGTCGTCGCTTCTGTGGTTTATAAAGAAAATATTGCACGTCGCTCATAATTTTGCGAATTTTAGGTCCTATGAGAAGAATACCTACAATTCACAAAAAGAGATAAAACCGATGAACAAGTACTAGATGAGAGAGTAAAAAATTAATACCTCCTTTTATTTTGGCTTCACATAATTCTGGGAACTTAACTTTAAGATGGCAAAAAGCATTGCTATTTACATCCAAAATTTTTACAAATTAGGGGTATTCTCGGAGTCTTGCAAAGCCCTTGCACGGTGCACGGATTGCACGAAAAAAAACGCTTGCACCGTGATATAGTTTCATATATCCTAGCTGTAAATGCAGTGGTGGTAGGACAACATTTTCAGCTTTAACCAATGGGACGGTTAATACGTTTTTCCGGCCCATTTAATGCGGCTCTCGGGATAGCCATACTTTGCGATCATAGAAAACGTTACATTAAAAAAAAAAAAGGTCAAGCAACAGCTTTTGAATTTTTTGTTTTCATAAAAAGTTGAATAACTCTTAACCACTTGTTTTTTTTCGTTATTAAATTTTACAATCAATTTACGACTAGTATGGTTTTCTTATTAAATAGTGCGTAAATCCTCACCATAATTGAAAAAAGTAAAAAAAAATGTTTGCTGCGTAAATACACGAAGATCTCTTAAGGCTTATTTATTCGCATATATACACTGCAGGAAAAAAGTATTGGCACAGAAATTTTTTCGCAATATCTGCAAAGTTTTTTATTCCAATTTATTATCGATGGTTTCGCGAATATATTGATTTTTGTGTGTAAAATTCACTATCGTACGTTGTTCTATGTATATTTTGCAGATATGTATGATTTGCAGATAGAAAAGCATAAACAGACGGCAGCGTTGATCTGGATTAACTCGGGCTTAATCCGGATCAAATGCAGTTAATTCCCGAGTTGATCCGGATCAACGCTGCCGTCTGTTTATGCTTTTCTATCTGCAAATCATAAGTTGCTAGTGCAAAATAAGCCAATAATTACCGTTCTTTCTACGAAGAAACGGAATTGATTACTTACAGAAATGTATCTGTCGATAGGTTTTCTTTGAAATCGCTTCACAAGTTCTCGTGCAATAAGCGTTTTCGTGGAGCTCTAAAAATTACAACTACAAAATTTGAGCATAACCTCCATATCGAAACGTAAGACGTATTCTACGTCAAAAGGGGCTTAGTTTACAAAAAAAAAGAAAAAAAAGAGAAAAAGATTAAATATACTAAATAATGGTATTTTAACGTTGGATTCCAATTGGTTCTATTGTTTTTCTAATCGAGCTCTAACATAATTCTCCAACCTGATTTGCGATTCGAAAAACATTAGAGAACCACATTAGAATTCTAATGTAAAATCACATTTTTCTCTAACGTTAAAGACAGCGTTTGCTGGGTAGGAATTAATGATGCGGATTGATTAATATTAGTGTATTGTGTAAAAATATTAATATTGAGAATGTTCTGAATGGTCCGTGCTAATCTTCGAAGAAACGATCTTCTCGAATTTTGAAATTCGATCTTCTAAATTGAGGATGTAATTGATTGCAAATGGTAGTGCATAAATACATACATACATATTACTTCTTTGTTGGAAGAACGCTATAACTCAAAATCCAAAAACTCTAAAAACCGGCTTCAAAGCTTTTTTAGTCAGTTATATCTTCTAGAACAAAAATACCTAACAACGAAAAAATATCACAAATATAAGCGGGAAATTTAATCCAGAGTATAAAGTTTGATGCAGTTCAACAGAACTCTTTAAACGAACTGAACTGCATTATAATTGTCATAGCCAAAAACTGTTGACTAATGCCCTTGTAATTAACCGATTCATATACAGTATATCCGAGTACATAAGTTGCAGTAGAAAAATTCATAAACACTAAAACTGGAAAAATGGACTTCCACCAACTACTTAAAAATATGAATAAAAATAATTTAATTCTATTGACAGTTTTGAGCCACAATCTGCTTAATCCATGCTTGCACCGCCCTTATGTTGGTGTTAACTCCAGGATAGTTGGGACGTCCACAACCTGC